CTCTTTGATTCTACTGTACGTTCAATCGTAAGCCATGAATATTTATGTAAAAGAAAAAAAAAACACTCGGATCCACAGATTTGTCAAAGCACCAAACCTGTTTGCGAAAAGAACCGGATGACCGACCGCTGATGATTTCCTTTTACCAAGTCACACGGAACCCAAGAACCCATTTGAGTCTCTTCAATTTTTATTCTTTTATCGTGACGATCTTCATATGTTCTGCACTGAAAGTCCTTTCTGTTTTTTTCCTCTAGGATCGACAGTTCGAATCTCACCTGGGCTTAGTGCTTTCGTTTTTCCGGCTTCGAAATAATGAACCATTGTTGAGTTAACCCCGAGGTAGTATAGGTTAAGGACTGGGAGAAAACATTTACACAGGTGACTAAGACGTGCAACGTGATCATCTCATTAAGAATTTATCCACTCTGCCACCGGCTGCCATTCATTTTCTTTTCCGTATGACTTTCTTTTTAACCTTCCAGATCTTTCTCTTTTTTTTTTCTATTTCATTTTTTTTCCCTTGCTAAATAATTTTCCACGTCGGTTTTCCTCCGTGGTTATCTTCATTGGTATACGTTTCTCATTTCCCTTTTTTTTTTACTTTCAGTCCAAAAGACTTCTTTTTCTGTTCTCGTCGCAATATCTCGTTGCAAATTTCTATTCTAGTCTGCAAACTTCTATTCGTTACAATCTCTCGCTGCAAATTCCTATTCTCGTCGTAATCTCTCGTTGCAAATTCCTATTCTCGTCGCAATCTCTCGTTGCAAATTTCTATTCTCTCGTTGCAAATTGGTATTCTCACCTCAATCTCCCGTTGCAAATTTCCATTCCGGTTCCTATCTCTCGGTGCAATCTCTTGTTGCAAATTCATATTATCGTCCCAATCTCACGTTCCAAATTTATATTCTCATTGCAATTTCTCATTGCACATTTCTATTCTTCTCGAAATCTTTCGTTGCAAATTTCTATTCTCGTCGCAATCTTTCGTTGTAAATTTCTATTCTCGTCCCAATCTCTCGTTGCAAATTTTATTTTCGTTGCAGTCTTTAATTAAAACTTTATCTTCTCGTTGCAATATCTCATTGCAAATTTCTGTTCTCTTCGCAATCATCCGTTGCAAATTCCTATTTTCGTCGCAATCTGTCATTGCAAATTTCTATTTCTTTTGCAATCTCTCATTGCAAATTTCTATTTTTGTTGCAATCTCTCTTTGAAAATGTATATTTTCGTCCCAATTTATCGTTTCAAATGTGTATTCTCGTTGCAATTTTTCATTACAAATTTATCTTTTAGCTGCAATATCTCATTGCGAATTTCTATTTTCGTCGCAATCTCTCGTTGCAAATTTCTATTCTTTTTGCAATCTCTCGTTGCAAAATCCTATTATATTAATATTACTATAGTATTATAGCAAACGTAATTGATAAAATGCAAGGTGTATAATAATTGAGATACTTAATACTGCTTGAAGATTTGAATTTGTCAAAAGAGATCTATTTTTGCTTTTGATAATTTTCATACTTGAAAAAATTTGCTCACATATGTAAGTGGATGCAAACGGGACAAACAATTTTCTTGAAAAGTCTTTCAAAATTTAAAAAAATTCTCTGGGTGAAGTGATGCATAAAATTCAGTTGAATATTTGTTTTCAACGCTATATTTCAAAGCATTGTCAGTTTGGAGGTCTATGAGTTCAAATTTGTATCTCATTAGTCGCAGTTTCAGAGGTAAATGAAGGCCATTTTGAACAGCGGCTCCATTGCTTTGAAATCTGCAAATCTCTTCGTTCAAAGCTGCGATCTCTCCACTGTATTTTGAGGCAGATGTATATTCAACAGGCCGATCTCTCAGGAGGGGGGATTGAGCAAAGTTTTGATCAGATAGTTGTTTAGCAAAATGTGTAAATCATGAGCAAAGAGACCTTTACCTTGAAGCTTTGTGTTGAGTTCATTGATTTTTTGCATGGTATCTGTAGCAAATACAAAATAACACATCCATTCTGCATCATGGAGAAGTCACAAACCACATCCTTTATTTAAAAAAAAAGACATGAAGATCTCTTCTTTGAGTTACTATATTCTTTTCAAAACTTTCCCAAGTATTAGCCACCGTCAATTGCTGTGATACAACGCATCAGTTTCTTTTTAAAGACTTTCTTGGTGATTTATGGGTTGAAATGAAAGCAACTTTTGAGGTGGGAAATTTGACTGAATCTTGTCATTTAGACGTTTGACAAGTCCACAATATCTTACAGTTAGTGCTGCTGTCTTATCAGTTGTTATTCTTACAAGTTTATCAAGGTGTAACTGCGAATTTTCCAAACAATATACAAGACTTTCATACAAATCATTCCCAGGAGTAGTGTTTTTAAGACTCTCCATTGACAACAGTTCATCTGTTTTTGAAATTTTCATCAATATCGCAAATAAATATATCAACAACTGTGCAGTATCTACTATGTCTGTGCCCTCATCTAAAACGATTGAAAACCAGATGAATTTATGTGCAATATCCAAAAGTTTTCCCTGCAAGATTTCAGCAATGGCATCTATTTTACGAACAATAGTTCTCTGTGACAACAGAATTGCTTCTACTTTTGACTTTATTTCTGGACATACAGTATCAATTGCATCAATCATACATTCTTCCACAAATTCTGCGAACAGAAAATAGCTTGTTATATTTTGCGATCTTATTTGCCAATATAAAACTCGCCTTTGTTGCAAGCTCTTGTCGACATGTACATTTAAAAAGTATGGGGTTTCTGTTTTTTTTTGTTTTATTTTTAACCATGTCCGTTGCTTTGTTCTGCAGTTCTAGCGTGGAAAACTTTGGCCAAAGTTCCAACGTTTCGACTGAGAATGTGTTTTCAAATTATATGCCTTGAATACTACACAAGTATTGTGGCAAATTAGGCACACAGCTTTTGTAATATTTTCTTTGAATAAATACTTTTCAGTCAATTCCTTCTTAAGAACACGACATTCAATGTCAGCTTTACATCTTTTAGAACTCATTATGGTTGACTGCCTTTACATTGTTTTAGAATCTAACTTACTATAAAATCTAACTCACTAAAAAATGGCGACTCACGCTAAATTTCGTTTACAAATATCATGCAAAAAGATACTTGAAATACAATTCGAATCAAAGTGGAATTATTAGAAATGATTCTTCCGATAAGTTTTTATACAAACTTCCGGAAAGTTTTTTGATGAAATGTGTAAATATAAAAGTAATACACAGCCACATTAAAAGCCATGACGGGCCGAACGTGGCCCGCAGGCCATAATTTTCACACCTCCTGCTCTATATAACTGTTGAGCTATGTATTGTTAAAACTTCTGTTTGCCTTGAAATATGTTAAACAATATTATTTTACACATAGCAAAAAAAATATATATATATATATATATATATATATATATATATATATATATATATATATATATTTAACTGGATTGATGTTATTTTGCGACCCTGGTTTTCACGCTATTTTCGATTGTCTGATGATCGCAAAAAAAGCGTGAAACTGTTGTAGAGTATTTTTCACAGTGGAGGCTTGTATTTCGCTAAGTCGGTCCTAAAAAGGGTCCGACGTACAAAACGTTAGGAACTTGAAATAAGAGTTAATGACGCAGCAATCTAGTTGTGGTGGTTGATACTTTAATGTCCGACATCGACTGACTCGCTCAACTCCACTGAGCTCAACTGGCCACTGCTACTACTACTTATTATCTGTGGGAGCGTCTATTACAGTAGAATAGGTAATGTTCTGGTATAACAGAAACCCAGGGTCACAAACTCACTACAGTCCAACTAAATATGTTAGATCTATCACTGATATTGAGCGCTTTCCAATAAGTGCTGCGCATATATAATATATAATTAATATATATAAAAATTGCATATATATATATATATATATATATATATATATGAAGAAATATGCTCTTAAGTTGTGCTATATTTATGGGATAAAGTGTTCAATATCAGAGATAGAGAGTGTGTAAATATAAAAGTGAACATTGAAGTCAACACTTTGAAGCGACAGGATGTTTCATGCTCGACGCAATCGTCAGGCCACCGTGTACATACGTCTTCCGTGCCTAGGTAATATTAGTGACAGGTTTGCTAAATAGCTTTTCATAGCAGTTCGACAATGTTACTTTGCTGCTAATACACGTGTGAACTTCTCCGCATCACCTGTCCTTCCATCCATGCGGAAAGAGATTCTTCCACCTCATCCTACTGCCCTGTTGGCTGGGGCTTAAGAATACGGCGACTCCACCTTTGCAGATGTGTAAGACCCACCCCACAAATGAGGCGTTCTAGTTAAGACGACAGATTGTATTCCACAGCAAGGCCTCGGGTCATGAGGGTTTGAGGAGCGTGGAACCACCACTTAATTACTGGTGTTTGCAGGTCCACCCTGACCTGGGGCGCTAAAACCTGTAAGGGTCCTAGCTATGAGCAAATATGTAACCCTCAAACTGGGATCACAATACTTCTAAAGGTAAAAATAGGTTTTAATGCCAGTGAAATATATTTGTAAAATTTATTGCAAGCAATGTATTTTTCAAGAAAATAATTATTACCAGCAATACATTATTACCAGTAATACATTTTTGAAAAGAATATTACTAGCAATACATTTTTGATCAAAAATATTACCAGCAATACATTTTTGAAAAAATATTACCAGCAATATATTTTTGAAGAAAATATTACCAGCAATACATTTTTGAAAACAAATATTACCAGATAATACATTTTTGATCAAAAATATTACCAGCAATACATTTTTGTTCCAAAATATTACCAGCAATACATTTTTGAAAAAGATATTGCGAGAAATATATTTTTTGAAAAAAAAAATATTACCAGCAATACATTTTAAAAAAAAATGTTATTAGCAATGCATTTTTTTAAAAAAAAATACCAGTAATAAAAATCATGTCATTAAATAAACGATTGAGTTTGATATGCCGTAAAACAAACCAAAACAAATCAATAGATAGATAGATAGATAGATAGATAGATAGATAGATAGATAGATAGATAAAAATATTACCAGCAATAAAAATCTTGTCGGCATTAAATAACCCTTTGAGGCTGATATAAAACGAAAGAAACCAAAACAAAACAAACTACCTCATCATAATATTTTCCTGATTTATTTATTTAATTTTTTTTTTTCAGTTCGCGCTACAGAGGAAGAACGACCCAAAGGCTGGATGCTAGTATTAAACAACACGTGCCTACAAAAAACCGGATCTCTAATTATTCACCATCAGATGTTCTGACCAATGCATACAGATCTTCCATTGCGGATAACCTTATAAATAACTGCAGTTGTGCAGCTAATTTCAGTGTGGTCTCGTTTTCCATCCTGAATAGGTTCCACTCAACTTACCACCTTAAGATACTGGAGGCCCTATGTATTTCATCTATGAATCTTTCACTCTGTAAACAGAAGCATTCTGTCCTTGCCTCTAATCGATTTGCATTTAATATTTTTCCTTCCATTTCATTCCTTTTATTGATAATATATACAATGATAGTTGAATTTAGATTTTTGAAAATTGTAGTAACCATGGAAGCAAGGAAACGAAAGCGTGTTCAACAAGTGTAAAGTGCGAGAAAAGTAACTGTGGGATTATATGTTGCATTTGCATCTAGCTATTTCAACATTGAATGGGTGGGATCATGCCAGTCTATTAGCACGCTTAAATTCATGTAGTCGCGGAACCAGGGAATAATGCTCATCAGAGCAGTTGCTATGAAAATATTTACAGAAAAGACAAAGAGAAGTCACTTTATGTTAGTGAGAAAGTGATTGAAGTCGAGATGCTAGGTCAGGATCGATTATATTGCAGATCTGTCGAAACAGTTAAATATAAACTCCTCTTTTACTCCAACAGCTTTTTCTCTCGCACTTCCCGACAGTAGAATTCCCTTCCTCTTACTTCCGTCCCTGATAACTGAAGTCTTAAAATATTTAAATGTAGCGTCAATCGTCATCTTCAGATGCCTTCATCACCGTTCATTTTTTTTTATCCTTTCCTCACTTTCCTCCCTACAGGCAGCTTTTTCTCTTACTTTCACTCTTTGCATACTAGTGACACTCAGACTGTGCTTGGGATGAAATGTTTAAAACAAATAAATAAAAATTGGCTTTATTCACAAGAGTGTCGCTCAATATTTGTTGCTACTTATCTTCACTGTGACAAAGTAATATTTATCAGCAGGAGATCATTGACAGTTTTGTAAAAGCTTTTTAATATAACAAATACATGTTTTAAATTAGAAAATTATTAATGAACATAGAAAAAAGTCACAATTATGGATAACACCCGTTAACTTTGTTTTCGACTCAAATGTGGGCCAATCGAAACATATTTCTGGGCTATTTCCTTAAGCTGAATCTGAAAATCAAGTCCATTTTGCCCCTTCCCATCACGTGTTCCCAGTACAAATAATTTCTTTTTTGCTTAAAATAGGCGAAAGTGTCTAATTACAGGTATATGCCACGGCTTAAATATACGAATGACATAGTTGAAACATTTCGTTTCGTGTTAAAATGATTTATCATTCAAGAAAAAATATCCAAATAACTTTCAAAATTAATTCTAAGCAATTTAAATTCAGATAAGCTGACCTGAAAATGCTTGATTTTATGAGAAATATCTCACTGGAAAATGTTCTTGTGCCCTCAATGCTCTTAGCTTGTTAAAACTTTGTGATTTGTATTTCTTCTCTACTTTTCATAGAAGCTCTTTAGAAGTTATTCAAGAACAGAGATTTTAGATTTTATTAGTAGCTTTCACTTTAACGCTGAAACCTTCAAAAGATTTCATCTTATCACTTGAATTTACGGAGGTCTGGTATTGGCATACATTCCTTGTATAACACGCAAAGGAACATCGATAAATGAGGGTTGTTAGGGTGTTAGCCGAGTGTATTTGAGATTTGAATTTTCTTTATCAGAGCTTAAAATAGCCGCCAAACCCCAGATAGGCATAACCAAATAGGAACTTTGTAGATGGGATGTTAACATGATGGCTGATTTCTGATAGAGCATCAAAAGAGATCAACCTTTTCAAAAGTACCGTAGAGTTTCCAAGTAGAGAAGATTTATATCTTTGGATAGACAAAGATGAAGGTATTTTACATTCTTTGTATCTACTTTGATGTTGTGACTCAAAAATTGATGACACATGTTTGCTTTAAATTAATTTTGTGTGAGATTTTTCTGGAAACTTTTCTGAATTGAAAATGTAGAAAATGCATTCTTTAAGTTATTGGGGTACTTTTTTATGTTAAGTTATTCTAACCTGAAAACGTTTAAGTTGGTTCTACTTGTCCTGGTATATCATTGTTAAATGGGTATTTTCGCCTATTCTAAGAAAAACAGAAATTATCTGTAATGAGGAAACGTGATGTGATGTGGGAAAAATGACATAAAAAAAATAGCAATAATTTATGACATAAAAAAGAAAAAAAAATAGCATTAAACATTTGGGTCGAAAAAAATGCCGCCCAGTGTTATCAATGACTATTTTGATATTTTGCGGTTTTTTTAAGCACTGACGAAGAAAATTCGAATCTTCCTAATCTCAAATACACTTGCCTAACACCCTAACAGGAAAGGATTACAAAAAAGGACGGTGATGAAGGCATCTGAAGATGACGATTGATGTTACATTTAATTTTTTTAAGACTGCAGTTATCAGGGACGCAAGTAACAGGAAGAGAATTCTACTGTCGGAAATTGCGAGAGAAAAAGCTGTTGAAGTAAAAGAGGAGTTTATATTTAACTGTTTCAACATTTTCCAATGAGATATCTCTCATAAAATCAAACATTTTCAGGTCAGCTTATCTGAAAAAATAATGTCGACCCGTGTGATGAATATTTGATTAAGAAAAAGAAGTTGATTTATTTTATTTCTATTGGATTGTCGGATAAAATTGTTTTTTTTTCCTTCACTTTTTAAATCCTATAATCCATCAATAATTTTCTCAGTGAATAATATAAAACAATAAACAAAAATTGTAGCGGTAAAATGGCGCCAGTGAAGTCTTAAATCACTACGGAAAATAATCTGGGTGTTATTTCTAGGAACATTCGATCAAATTTATCTGATAACCTAGTACTTTAATATATCCGCCATCAAACCACCTTTTGTTCTAATTTCTTTCCTTCTCTGCTACTCTTTTTATCGCATATAAATGTATTATCACTTCAAGTCTAACCGGTTCTTTTCTCGAACTTTTAGCCTCTAGAACTATCTACCGATTCCTTTCCACCACGCCACCTAAACTCTTCAAATGCAATGTCAATCGCCATCTTTTTTTCTCCCTGAAATATGTACCTTTATTGTCTTTTCCTCACTTCTCACTAAGATCTTCTCATTCTCTTTCATTTCATTTAACCTGCTGCCTCCTAATGGCATTACCACCATACTTAGCGTGAAATGATTTAAAAAAATAATTTATCGCAAATTGTCTCGTACAAATCTCCTCTTCTCTTTTGATTGTTTATTAATACGAATCTCTCTTCGTTTTCTAAAAATCTTCCGGTAACCGCTACCATTTTTTACTCGTTCCACTCTACACCAATTAGGTACCATTATTCTTTATTTGGCTTTCGGAAAAACTCCTCGTGAGTCCCGATAAAAATAAAATATATAAACAAAAAATACAAAGAATTAAAATTAAAATAAGGTATTTGTACTATCCCTTAAACACTTATCTCTGTTTTTTTCTCTCTTTCTCTAAACTTCTCTTTCTATTATACTTCTCTTAACTTTCGAGAAGGCAACCATAAATAAAAAAGAGGAAGAAGAAAAAACTGCCCCCCCCAAAAAAAAAAAACAGAAGTTTGCAGGACCCGAGCCTACGTATTTGTGACTAAAAAAATACCGAAAATCAGGGAGGATCCACGCATAACGTTATAAAAAAAAATGTAAAAGAAAGGAAAGGCTGAAAATAAAATAATTTGTCCAATCAACAAACTTATCACAAAAAGGCTTTTGATATTTACACCAAATTGCGAGCCTGGTAAAAAAGGATGAAAGCATGACAGCTCTAGACCAACCAGCAGAGAAAGTAATAGAACGATCCCAGGAAAGGGCAGAAGTAATGAACGCAGCCATGTGTGACATGTGAATAAGCAGTAAAGAGGTTATGGGCTACTGTTATTTCAGAACTGTTTCTGGGTTGAAAGAACGCAGTAGAGTGACACTGACTTAATCTCTGCTATTACTACTACCCCTATCACGGTCTTACTTTTAAACGACCACTACCGGACATTTCTCCAGACTGCTACCAATATTCGCCTTATTAATCATTTTTTTTTTGTTATATTTAAATACCATTTCTTTCAGTTATCACTGAAAAAATAACAAAACAAAAAAACAAAACAAATAAAAATATATTACATCCTTGTGCAGATTAATTGAAACAAAACGAATAACTCCGTTATTATTTACTTTTATCATATTTTTCCAATGAAACATGACCCAGTGCACATGTTAGTATTTCGTATGTCCATTCCACGAAGTCGTTCCTTGCAGATTCTCGATTGGATTCTAATCAGGAGAGTTTCCGGGGCAGTCTATAGTAATTTAATTTGCTCACTGGTAAGGCTTGTCAGTGTGTATGTGCAGTGTTACAACTTTGGTAGGATACTTCGGAGTAACGTCCATCGCGGACAGTGGGCTCAGGACAACTAATTAAAAGTTGGGACAATGTCTGAATGTGATAAAAATCGATGAAATCACTGATGACGCTGCCTTTTCAAAGTCAAACAAATTGCATCATGCACCACGAAAACAGATTCATATTACTGCACTCCACTGCAAATGACCTAATCTGACAGAAATTTGAAAGAAAGGTAACTAAAGCAGTTGTTTCAATTAGTTTGCACAAGGGTGTATTTATTTGAAACCCCTGAGTCAGTTCGTTTTATATGTCCTATGTTTCCGATAATAATAATTATTTTATGAACTAGCCACACTGGCGTAATTCAGAAGGGAAGCCACAAGGTAAAAACAGCAGGAAAAAGCATGATATGACAAGACTCTAAAATGAAGA